TGGTTGCAGGCACATTCCCATTAGGGGATATGCAGGAGGCAGCTGATCGATGTCTCTCTCTCATCTGACTCTTTATCCCTCTTTCTCCCTTCTTCTCTGTAAAAGATCAATAAAATATATTTTTAAAAAATAGGTTTGTAGCCCACCTGTGGGCCATTAGCCATACTTGTACCATATAGTTAAATATTGTGTAGCAGTAACCTAAGTGCAAATTTGGTTACTAAGATGTGGTCTTTATGAATTCAAATTCTCCTGGTTTGAATTCCATTTTACTGAATATTCTGCTAGCCAAGGTCATGCACATGCATACAGATGCTCAGATTCAAGATGCTATTATAAGGGTTTTTTTTCAAGTTGGTTGAGGCTTTTGCTGCTTCTTGCAATCTTACCATTATTGTCATCGTTAGCAGTTGGTTAACCCTGTGGGTCAGATGACGGAATTCACAGTTACTGGTGATATAAATAGACCTTAAGAAAAATGTGATTCAGATGAGTCATCACACACCTATTGCTGAAGCAGATGCACATTAATAAAAAATACTTGCATACCCTGGATGTTTTGGCTCAAGGGATAAGAGTGTCGGCCTATGGACTGAAGGGTCCCGGGTTCGATTCCAGTCAAGGGCACATGCCTGGGTTGTGGGTTCCATCCCCAATGGAGGGCATGCAGGAGGCAATTTATCAATGATTCTCTCTCATCATTGATGTTCCTATCCCTCTCTCCCTTCCTCTGTGAAGTCAATAAAAATATGTATATATTTTTAAAAATACTTGTATTATGACAGCTTGTGGCCAATATGCTGCTACCTGTGAATTTGCTGTTCTCTTGAGCATATTTTAATCAGGTTTTCTTTCCTACTAAACACTTTTTTTTTTTTTTTAAAGTTTACCATCTTACTTGACCAGTTCAAACAGGTAACCTTGATTGCTTCTTCCTTCCTAAAACACTTTGTCCACTAGATTTCCAGAAGGCCTCTCCCTTGGTTTTCCTACCTCAGGGGCAGTGCCTTCTCAATCACCTTTGCTGGTTCATCATACTGACCAACCTTTAAGTAGGAGGGCCGAGAATATCCTTTCTCTACGTAATCTCACCCAGTGTCCTGCTTCAAGAGTTGTGTATTGCAATCTTCAGTATCTCAAGGTCTCTAGCTTAGCCCTCTCATGACAAATATGTCTGCTTACTCACTTCATTTGCATAAAGAATTTGGCATCTAGCTGGGACCGGTTTGGCTCAATGGATAGAGCGTCGGCTTGGGGACTGAAGGGCCCCGGGTTCGATTCCGGTCAAGGGCATGTACCTTGGTTGCGGGCACATCCCCGGTAGGGGGTGTGCAAGAGGCAGCTGATCGATGACTCTCATCAATGTTTCAAACTCTCTATCTCTCTCCCTTCCACTCTGTACAAAAATCAATAAAATATATTAAAAAAAAAAAAAAGAATTTGGCATCTACCCTGGCTCGTGACCATTCTGCTCATGCATGGAAGGGTTAGATTCAATTCCTGGCCTCAGTCAATATGCGGGCAGGAGGCAACCAATTGAAGTCTTTCTCACATCTCTTCTCTTCCCCCCCAACCCCCCCTCTCTTTCCCTTCCACTCTCTAAAAACCAATGGGAAAAATATCTTCGGGTAAGGATTAACAACAAAAAGGATCAGGCACCTTGCCCTGGCCAGTGTGGGTCAGTTGGTTGGGCATCATCCCATACAACAAAAGGATGTTGGTTCCATTCCTGGTCAGGACACATGTCCAGGTTGTAGGTTCGATTCCTGGCAAGAGGCGGCCCATGGATGTCCACTCTCACATTGCTATTTCCCTTTCTCTAAAAACCAATGTTCTAGGTGCCCGGCTAGCTCAGTCAGTAGAGTATGAGACTCTTAAAAACCGATGTTCTTTAGAATACACTCTAGGGCCGAAACTGGTTTGGCTCAGTGGTAGAGCGTCGGTCTGCGGACTAAAAGGTCCCGGGTTCGATTCCGGTCAAGGGCATGTACATTGGCTACGGGCACATTCCTGGTAGAGGATGTGCAGGAGGCGGCTGGTTGATGTTTCTCTCTCATCGACATTTCTGGCTCTCTCTCTGCTTTCCTCTCTAAAAAAAAATCAATAAATTAAAAAAATAAATAATAAAATAAAATACACTCTAGGGCCGAGACTGGTTTGGCTCAATGGATAGAGCGTTGGCTTGGGGACTGAAGGGGCTCGGGTTCGATTCCAGTCAAGGGTATGTACCTTGGTTGCAGGCATATCCCCAGTAGGGGGTGTGCAAGAGGCAGCTGATCGATGACTCTCTCTCATCGATGTTTCTGGCTCTCTCTCTCTCCCTTCCTCTCTGTACAAAATCAATAAAATATATTAAAAAAATAAAATACCCTTTAGGTTTCTCATCCCCATCTAAATGTTTATCTTCTCCCGGGTGCTCTCCCTCCTCATTCAATACATGGGCAAATTCTGTTCTTAATTTCCAAGTCTTCCACAACTACCACTGCAGAGGAAACTATTATCACCTCACCTAAAAATCTTGCCTGGCTGGCATGGTTCAGCATTGACCTATGAAACAGGTCACGATTCAATTCCTGGTCAGGGCACATGCCCAGGTTGTGGGCTCAATCTCTAGTATGGGGTGTGTAGGAAGCAGCTGATCAGTGATTCTCATCATTGATGTTTCTCTCTTCCCCTTGATCAATAAAAATATATTTAAAAGATTATATATATATATATATATATATATATAATCTTTTAAATATATAAGCTTGATATACCTTGTTTTCTGCTTTTACCTACTACCTAGCAGCCATAACATGGTCTTTCAGGTCAGGTCATGTCACCCTTCTCAAAGCCACCATGTCTGTGGCTTTTCTGCATCATCTGGTTTCTTTCCCTGTATACTCGCTTCTCTAACTCTTCTTCTGCCCCTTTATGTCCAACAAACTGGCCACCTTATCCCCAGAACTTGTCAAACACACTCTTCAGACTACATTTGCTATTTGCCTGGAATGCTTGCCCTCAAGTGTATTACAAAGGATTTCCTTGACAACTGTAAAAACCAGCCCTTTCTCCATACACTAACAGCCTATCCCCAAACGTCACTAGCAACATGCCTGTACTACATATCAATGACAAAATGATATACACCTTCTAATGTATACAGTAGAGTGCACATGACTGAGAATAGCCTTCTCAGCCAACTATCTGAATTCACTTCCTACCCAGTCTTTGCATTGCTGTTGTCTTTCCACTTTTCCATAGCCAGCTGTTTGTTGACATCAGACCTCTACTAAAGTTGTCCTCATCTTTGACCACTAGGGGGCAGACCTGAAATTTCTCCACTAGTGTTTCAGAGTGGCACCCTCATCCAGTGTGTCACTTGCTACATTTTAATGTCAGAAATCAGTTGCCAGTTATTTGGTTTGCTTCACCAGTAGGCCTTGTCAATCCAATTAACATATCTCAAATTGTGATCCACACACACTTCTTTGAAGCCACCAGGGCAAATTTGATTGCCAAATCACTGGATTTTAGGCTTTAAAAACAAAACAAAAAAACAACACTGGCTCAGGTTGTTTTAACCTAAGGTAAAGGTGTAGGGCAGTGGTCCACAAACCACAGCTCGTCACATGCAGCTCTTTGGCCCCTTGTGTGGCTCTTCCACAAAACATGTGCAGCCACATGTACAATGTAATAGAAACTTCATGGCCCACAGGCAGAAGTCAGTTTTCGGCCTGGGCGAGTGGCGTTAGAACGTTAGAACACACAAAGGGCCAAAGAGCTGCAGTTTGCCTGCTACTGAGGTAGTGGAATTTTCCAGCTTCTCTTGAACTTGCATTTTACATTTTTCTTGGAGTAAAACAGACTTTCTAATGGTTGACAAGGTAACTCCTGAACTGTAAAAACTGCATGCTTTTTCACTATATTCCCCCATTCAACCATAATCAAAAAGTTAAGAGCCCTTCTTCCATCTACACTGCAACCTTAACAGAGTTAATTGCTCCAGATCAGATGCATTTTTATCCCAAACCCACAGCCTGATCAAGTTCCTTTTTCCTCTACTCATCAGCCAACCCACATCCCACCTATAACCCCACTTTTAAAAGTAGGGGCCAGCAAACCTTTCCTGCCAATAGTCACAAGTTTATTTTAGGCCACATAGGTCTGTCACCCATCTTTGCTCTTGCAGTGCCCAGAGCAAATCTATAAACAAGTGATTATGGCAATGTCCTGATAAAGCTGAACACCAAATTAGACCTCATCTATATAATAAAAAGCCAGTGGCCAGAACGACCCGTCACCAGGAGGTGCATGGGCCTCTAGTATCCTATAAGCTATACTGACTTTTCCCATTTACAAACAGCCACCTTAGAGTCACACAAAATTTGCCAACCCCATTTCAGGAAATCTTACAATTCCAGAGACCTAGATTTCTACAGAACTTGGTTCTAACTTGACATGATAAATAAGCTCAGACAATTCTTTGCTTCCAGCTGTATTAGTCTCTTTATTCTTTAGGTAATCTCTTCCAGTTAACTACTTCTGTTTGTAGGTGATGAAATGTCTAAGGAATCCACTTCAAATGTTGGCTCTGCTGTGAGCATGGTCTTTCCCTTTACTGTAACTCAGAATTAAGACTTTTGATCCTTGGGTTTTTTCCTCCAGTCTCAGAAGCAGTTTCCACTGTAGAAGTTATCTGAAGACAGTCTATACGCTTTATAGTAGTGGTCTACAACCAGGCTCTAGCTTCTCCAGGAACACTACACAGGATAGATTTTAAAATGTATTAAACTAAGAAGCATTCTCTCAAATGAATTTAAATGCATTTTATTTTTAGACAACCTACATGACATGTTTCCTTCTTAAAAACAATGCCTCCGCTCCAAATGAATCAAGGTCAAAATAAACGAAGAGCTCAAGATGACATCAGTCCCATCTGTCCTAGGCTTGGTGTGGATGAAAAGCAGCAGCCAGTTACGGTGGTGACAGGCGATGGAGCCAAACTGCCCAATTTGTTACTGCGAAAACAAGGGAAATTGTATTAGCACCTTTCCCAATAGGAAAGCACTTAACATTTCTAGGCTGCAAATGTAGTCCCTTATTCAATCTGGGCCGCCACAAAGACAGACAGAAAGCGCAGGGATATCTTTCTTTCGCATCCCAGTGCAAACCATAAGAACAACAGGTTGTTCAAGGTCTATCAGTGGATGCAGAGCCATCCTTAGCAAATCAGAAGTAGCAGTTTTCAGAAAGTACACATTTTTAATAAAGTCCCGCACACACTCTTACCTTCAAAAACCTCAGATAATCTGAGTAATTCCTGTGGCCAATCTGCTCTAAGATGCTGCCTTATTGCTTCTAAACTTGTTTAATGTAGCTTTAACTTCACCTTGTTCCTAATTTTCCTCAAAGTGAAGATAGTCATAACAATGCCTTCACTTCTGTATTATTCCAGAAGCTCCTTGTATAGCATTCTTTTCATTTTATTAAAGCAATTTGAGTATCAGAATTTACTGAACGCTAGTAACATCAATACTTTCAATGATTAACAGCCAATTATCAGCAAACTCCAATTAAAAGAATTTTGATATATTGTTTTCTTTAGATGACAAAGATTCCACACTATAAAATTCTTTTATATGAAGCCCTCTTTAGATCCCTGAAGAGAAAGACATGTCCCCACATTTTAAAAGGACAACCCGGTTTGGCTCCATGGCTAGAGCCTCCGGAAGGGTCCGGGTTTGATTTTGGTGCATCTATGGGAGGCAACCAATCGAACTGTCTCCCTTCACTCAGATGTTGTCTTTCCCACTCCTTTTCATCTAAAAATCAATGAAAAAATATCCTTGGGTGAGGACTAAACAAAATAAATAAAAATAAAGAAATTTGGTGTTATAAAATAGAGAACTGCTACAGACTCCACTATAACTCAGTAGCATGAAATAGGAATCACAGCTAAAATGTCTCTATTTTTACATAATTTTGACCCACTTCTGTATACTTACACATTTTTCCATTTCTAAACCATCTTTAAAGAAAATCATATATGGGGTCACACCATCCTCACGGTAGTCCAGCAGAGCAACCATGCCATCCGGATTCATGTTTTCACCAATAAAGAACTTAGGAAGCAAAAACAAACATCTAGTTAGACCATTATATACAGATATGCCTTATCAAAACAAACTGAAATGACCCACACCAACATGATTTGAGAAGTTCAGGAGACAGGTTCTGATGCCTATGAAGAAAATGCTCACTAATCAAACATTGGTCACCTGAATAAAGCACTAATACAGAGAAATAAGGAATACTCGAGGTTTCCTAGAAACTTACTCTCACATTACTTTATATGAATGAATATACAAATCTCAAACCCCGTAAGCCCGTGTACAAAGTCAAGGACAGGACCATAATGCTGTGAATGAGAAAGCTCATCATATGGGGAAAGACTCTTATGGTCAATGTGTATGTGTGTCCAAGACAGAAAAATCAAACAGACTGTTAAGTCTTAGAAGTCACTGAAGTTCCCCAATACAGACAAAACTCCAGTTGCAATGAAACAAACCGAATTTTAAAGGGAAAACTGGAAGGTCACCTAGGAGGTTAATAAACAACTTATGAAAGAAATAATGCCATCTAGGTAGGAATGAGATTCTGTATTCAGAAGACAAGATCTGGAAACACACTTGGGGAAAAGGGAAAGCTTCTTTCTACAGCCTGTACTATTGGAATTGAATCTATGAACTACTCAAACTGCTCAAAAGCCCACAAGTTAACTACAAAGACTTGCACCAAATAGCTAGTTTTATGCCCTTACAGTTAAAACTGTAATCCTTTGATCCAAATATTTAAGGCATCAATTTACCTGGTAGTTTTTGAAATTGGCAAGGATGTGCTTGATTTGTTCTGCAGCCCCTGTCATAAAAGGCTTTACTCTTTCTGGTCTCTGTTCTTCAAGCTTCCCTTTGATTCTAAAACAATATTTCATTAATAAGTTAAAGTACTGACTTCTGAGCAAAATAACTTAAGTAAATCCCAAAGAAAAACAAAAACACTGCGAACAGTAAAGTAACTAGTTCACTGGACATATTAAAACAGTACTATTCTAAAAGGCTAAAAGCATACCACTTGCTTTAGTATGCTCAGTTAGTTTACTTATTGGGCGCCACCAATAACACCTCTTGCAAACCAGTGTCTCTTCTTCCTTCCTCCCTCTCTGAGGATTAACAACAACAAAAGTAACACCACCCCACACTTATAAGTATGCCTGCTGCTTAAGAATCTCAAATTTAGCCAATCCATGCCCTGCCAGTGTGGCTCAAATGCCCAGGTTGCCTGCTCCATCCCCAGTAGTGGCTGTGATGACAGCCAATCAATGATTCTCTCTCATCCTTAATGTTTCTCTTTCTCCCTTTCTCCCTGAAATCAATAAAAAATATATTTATCCCAACCTCTAAATCTTGTAAGATTCCAGAGACTAGCTGGGAGTGCAAATACCACTTACGATTTCATGTAATCTTTGATGTACTTCTTGTAGGCTTCTTTTGTGAAGCTGGTTTCCTGCAAGTGATGGTTCATGACAATGTCAACGCCAGTGACTACTGTGCTTTCGGTCCCTTCGCCCTCAGGGCCTTCAGCGGAGGCATTTCCACCAATAAGCGAGTCATCAATGTTACCCTCTGTCCTACTGACCATCTGCACAAGAAATAATAGTTTGGTTTCAAAAGACATTCTTGATCGTAAACGCATCCAAAAAGTTTTATATACCAGCAATTCATGTATCCATCACCCTCTCACCAGATATTCTTGGTTCTTGCTGATAACAACGAAGACATTTTTGGGGGAAATTTATGACCCCTCCATTCCTGAAACACCTCAACTCAAGAACTTTGTTGGTTGAAATGAAAATAGGGTTATTACAACCAAGTGCAAGTTTCTGTGGGTTCCCAAGTTGATGACCTAGTAAAGGGCAAGCACTCCAGGGCTTGGTGATCCCAAGCCGCAGACAACCTGCCCCGACCAGGCCGCGGGGAGGATGGGCGCACAGGCGGCGTTACCTATTTCTATTTCCAGGCTCAGCTCCGCCTCCGCTTTTCTAGAAAAACCCGGGCCCGGAAAGAGTCTCCTCCGCCAGGAGGCAGAGAGGAGAATTGCACAATCTCGGGCGGGGGAGCGGCGGAAACCCGAGCTTGCCCAGCCTCGCCTCCCGGCAGCCGCGGCCCGACTACTCACCTTCCCCTCTACCTCCAGGCACAGCCCGTCTGCGATCTCCCGGATCTTGTAGATGTCGGAGAACATCTCGTCATCTGCTCGGACACACAAACCCGCCGTCACGATGCGCCCGGGGCCCGGCGCCGGCGCCATTTCCCGCGCTGGCGGGCCGCACGCGGTCCGCACCCTCCCGGGCGCCCCAGAGCCGGCGCGCGCCCCGGGCGCCGGCCCTCCCCGCCCCAGGGAGGCCGCCGGCGGCCACTAGGCCCCGGACGGCGCGGCTCCCGCTCCCCCACCCGCGCCCCCGCCCCTCGCGGCAGCGGGGGGAAGCAAGCAGGACTCACGGCTGATGAGGTCCCGGTAGATGATCATGATGGCGGCTGGGAGGAGACGGCGGCGCTGCCTGGAGCAGGAGCACGGAGCTCGGCGCGAGCGCTGTGCAGCCGGAGCGGCGCTCGGGGGGAGGGGGGAGCGGGCGGAAAAGGCCGACTCAGCCGCTCCCCAACCTCATATAGAGGGCAAGTCCCCCTACGTCATCGCCCGCTGCGCCCCCGGAAGCGCCGGAAGCGGTGACGTGGCACGCAGAGCGCGTGGGGGCGGAGCCACGGCGGGGCTCGAGGTGGGGAGGGAGGCGGGAGGTGAGCATCCGGGGACTGGGCCTGGGGACGCAGTGCGGCGCCCAGCGGCTCCGGGGCGGAAGTGGTGAAGGGAGGGGTGGGGAGCGCCTGGGGGGGCAGGAAGGAGGGGGGACCGGAGGAACGCGGGGAACTGGGGCCGCCCCTGGGTGGGGCTCAGAGGACGTCTCTCAAGCTCCGCCCCGCGCGGCTCCATCCGCTTTGTCAGGTTTCCAGGTGCCTGCTGGCCACGCTCTGTGGGAGGGGGACTTGGCGTGGTCGGAGGGTCGGGTCCGTGAGGCCTGGGGAGACCGCGAGGCCGTCCGCGAGGATGAGGGGGGCAGGTGGGGCTTTTGACCGGCCTCCGGACCGCCGCGGGCCTCGGGGAGCCTCTGAGCTTTCCGCCCAGGGCCCCGCCGGTCCAGGTGGTGCGAGCCCCTCCCTGGGAGTAACCCGGGGGGTGGGGGGTGGGGGGTGGGTGTGGAGTGGAGGAGGGTCAGGGTCTTTGGAAACCAGGGAGGAGGGTGTCGCGCGAGTTTTCACAGTTTGAAAGCTGGCAGGTTCCTAAGGCAGGCAAGGTGGAGCCCTTTCCGTTCTGGAATCGGCCTAGAGTTACATCCTTTACCTGAGAGAAGAGCACGTTGTCTCTGGAGATGAAGTTGAAATTAAGTCCCAGGTCCAGAGGGTTAAACACAAAGATAGGGAGTTTCCCAGCTGCCCAAGAGTTACTTGGACTTTAGACCCAAACACTGGCTGCCAAAAACCCGAACTTCCCCTGCTGGGGGGCTCCAGCCTGTACAAATCTGGGAGCTGTTCCACTGCAAATGTCTTCATGCTCTTCTCTCTGGTTTTCTGTTCAATTAAAAATATTGTTCATATTTCACAAAGACAGCCACGTTGAAAACTACTGAGGTTAGAGGCAAAGCACAGAGGTTCTTGAAATATAGTAGCAATCATACTTGGGTAAAAACTGCTGTTTGAATTTTAACCCTGCTATCTGACTTCGATGTTGGATTAATTGGTTAAACAATAGGGTAGTTACAGGAGATTGATTTCCACTGACTCAGTAGCTTCATGGGTAGAAACTATAGATAACCTTTAGAGATTAACCGCTGAGTTCTGCTCCTGTATTATTGGCAAAATAGGGCCACATTCCAATGTCCCCAGCCTTTAGAATTTAGAACAAAGGGAAATTCCTGTGGTTTGAACCTTTAAAAAGGGCTGCCTACCCCTGGAACAGTGTGGTCGTGTGGACTCCACCTGCATGTGGTGCTCTTGCAGCCGTCCTGGCCAGTTTGTCAATAAATACTTGCCTGCTTTTTTAATCAATCTTCAGCCTCCGGTGGTCTTATTTTGAACCCAGGGTTCAACCCCACAACAGTCCTGATTGTGAACAAGTTAAATCTATTCTCACTCTCAGAAAACTTCATTCTAGTAAGTTAAAAAATCAGGCCATTATAACCAAGAATTTTTTCCTAAATCCAATTAATAAAGCATTTACAAAGAGAGAGTAACTCTCTGAAGGAGTAGGGCCCAGGACAGAGCGACTGTTGCCTGAAAGGGGACCTGGCCCAGAGCAGGTCTGCCAAGGCCCGGGCCAGGGTGTGGGGGTTCTAGACTTTCACAGTAGGAGTCCAGGTGAATTTGGGAGACGTTTATGAAAGCTGGGGACAATGAAACAAGAGAGGGCTGGGAAATAGGCCTTGGCTGGACTGCTTTGCTCAGTAAGAAGCCAGAGAAAAGGCCGCTAGGCGCCAGGGCCAGGATGGACTAGCGTTGCCCTTGTGGGGTCCCTTGGAGTTTAGGAGATGCCTGTGGGAGAGGTGCAGGTGTGTGCTGGGCCTTCGTTTTGTGGAGTTTTAAAGGCTGGGTGTTTAGGGGAAGATCTCAGTAGAATACAAGTATTCAGGTTTTATGTTGATGCACCAAAATGAGGTTTATTCTCTTAAAGTCATCTATCCTTGGGTGTGGTCAGCAAATGGCACTAATTGGATTTCTGTTTAGTAGAGCAATTTAAGCTATTTATCCTCTGATGGGGAGAAGTGCAAACCAGTCTTCCTGACTGCAAACTGCTGTTTATTGGTCTCAGTTTCCCTATTCCCTAACCTCTCTCAAATGAGATAATGATAATGAACAACATAAACTGATGAACAAAAACAAACCCAGAGAAAGAGAAGCAGACTCCCAAACCTCAGAGGGAAGGTAGGGGAGGGTGGGGGTAAGGGGGAGAGATCAACCAAAGGACTTGTGTGCATGCGTATGGGCCCGGCCAGTGGCCATGGACAACAGGGGGGTGGAGGCATATGTGGGGAGGGGTTTGGGATGGGAATGGGGAGATGAGGACAATTATGTGATATCATAATTTTTAAAAAAGAATTTAAATGAGATAATGGAGGAATCAAAATGGAAAAGAGCCAGGCAATGGGAACACCTTCCCCCACCCAAGATGGGGCTCTGAGAAGAAACAAAAATGAGTTGAAGAGGTTCTGAAAAGTGGACATCTTCTGACAGATGGTCCATGGAGGATCTCTCAAAGCTCTTGATTTTTTTTTTTTTTTTTGTGGGATGTGTAAGTGGAAAAAATTATTATCCCAGGCATAGTACTTTTTATTTTCCTCAGCTTTAACATTTCATATTTAGAAATATTCCTCCTCTCCTTGATGCCAGTGCCCAGGCAGACACAAGTATGTCCAGAAATTTGCCCTTCTTCCCGTCTACCTGGGGCATTGGCTCTGCCGCCCTTAGACACCGCCTCAGAACCACCCCGGGCGGCCTGGGGGGCGGGCCAGCAGCCCCCAGTCAGCCTTCTCAGGCCGGAGGCGCCTCAGCCTCAGAGCCTCGTTCTGGTGGTCAAGTGGGCCCCGATCCAGGCCCTGGGGAGCGTGGGTTCTGCGTGGGGAAGGGGACACCTAAGATGCTGCTGAGAGAGGAGTCGAGTGGCTGGGGGTCAGCTTGCTGGGGACAAGGAGGCACGAGCCAAGTCCCAACCCAGAGTGACCGTCCCCTTTCCTCTGACCCAATAATAAAAAAAGAAAAAAAAACCGAAAAAAAAAAATAGAAATATTCCTCCATAAGTACCCTCAACTATTTACTCCCTCCACTCCTCTCCAGTTTTATGTCCAGTTAAAAATGTTTCTTCAGGGAGTTAATAAACGTTCTATTTTCTTCATTAAAAAGCAAATAAATAAATAAATAAATAAATCTTTTTTCAGGTTTTTATAAAAATAGCCACAGTGAAAAAAAGTACTGACGTTAGAGTCAACACACCCTAGGTTGAAATAATGACTTTATCTACTAGTCCTGTGACATTAACAAAGTCAGCCTCTCTAAGCCTAAGTATAAAATGTAATGTTTGTGAGTTAGAAGAGTTTGGGAAGTTAAGATGATGAAAAACTGCCTAACATCCTCAATAGTTTATCAATAAATATTGGATCACTTTGTATGCATAATTCTTCCCAATTTTTATTACTTTTTAAAGTATTCCTGAGCCCTGGCCAGGTAGCCCAACTGGTTAGAACGTTGTTCTTTTTTTTTTTTTTTTTTAAATATATATTTTATTGATTTTGTACAGAGAGGAAGGGAGAGAGATCAGAAACATCGATGAGAGAGAGTCATCGATCAGCTGCCTCTTGCACACCCCCTACTGGGGATATGCCCACAACCAAGGTACATGCCCTTGACCGGAATCGAACCTGGGACCTTTCAGTCCCCAAGCCGACGCTCTATCCATTGAGCCAAACCGGTCCGGCTAGAACGTTGTTCTAATATGCCAACATTGCAGGTTTCATCCCCGGTCAGTGCACATATAAGAATCAACCAATGAATAAACAAGTAGAACCATAAATCACTGTTTCTCTTCCTCTCTCTCTAAAATCAAATAGGTAAAAGTTAAAGTATTCCTGCCCTAACCAGTTTGGCTCAGTGGATAGAGCATGGGCCTATGGACTCAAGGGTCCCAGGTTCGATTCTGGTCAAGGGCCATGTACCGTGGTTGCTGGCACATACTCAGTAGGGAGTGTGTAGGAGTTAGCTGATCGATGTTTCTAACTCTATCCTTCTTCCTTTCTGTAATAAATAAATAAATAAATAAATAAATAAATAAATAAATAAATAAATAAATAAATAAAATGTTTTAAAGTATTCCTGAAACTATTCCATTAATCCTCTAAGTTATTTGTTAGATTGTGGGGGTTTAGTTGATGTATCTTGTACTATTTAATTACAACACTAATAGTGGATCACTGAAAGAATTCAGCTTGATCCTTATGACATTGCTAATCTCAGATTCATATTTGATAGCTCATGACAATTCAGTGACTACACATTCTGAAACCTAAAATCTTGGGAAAATATTTGAATAACATTTTATTCTTTACAAAGCAATGATTTCTAGCAAATTCTGAGATTGCCCTAAATTTTGCAGCTGCATATGACTTGGTATTTCTTGCAATTAAAGAAATTCCAAAGACAGTGTCTTCTAGCCCCTTCCACACAAATCCTTACATGAGAAAAGAACTTTAGTAGGACTTGACATTTGTTCAGTTAGGGACTGTTACAATGGCTTAACCACATTAAGGTTTATTTTCTTTTAGTAAGGAAATTCAAAGGTATGTAGTCCAGACTGAAGCTATGAAGCCATGGTGGCTTCATGGGATAGAAATCAGGGATCTTCCTTTCTTTTCTAGCATCCATATGGTCTTCAACAAATGCTGGAATTCCAGCCATCACATCGACCTTGCAGGCAGCAGACAGCTACAA